AAAAGGCAATTGAAAAGAAAGATGAAAACTAAATTATGGCTGACAATTATTCATCAATTAAGAAATGAAGATGAAAGTAAATATTAGTCAAAAATTAATAATAATGGCTGACAATTCTTCATATGAAATGAAATATTAGTCAAAAATTAATAATGTTTGACAATGCTTCATTTAATAAAAATGAAGATGAATGAAAATACTCATTAAATATGAATAATAATGGCTGACAATGCTTCATTTAATAAAAAATGAAGATGAAAGTAAGTACTCGACAAAAATTATTAATAATAGCTGACAATGCTTCATTTAATAAAAAATGATGAAAAAAAATAATGAATCAAATTCTGCAATGCTTCATTTAATAAAAAATGTGTCAAAATTATTAATAATGGCTGACAATGCTTCATTTAATAAAAAATGATGAAAGTAAATACTAGTCAAAAATCTTATTTGAATATTTAATATATAAATATTTTAATTATCCATATTTTTAAAGGTAATTCCGCAAAGAAATCAAAGCGATTAAAAAAATAATTTTATCCTGCATTCAATTATGTAGGAAATTTGATCATCCAGGTCCGTTTATATTAAAAATACGGACATTCGAATTCCAAACACTAATAAAATAAAAGAGATGATTTCATGCCTGTTAAATAAATAATCTTTATTACAGACTTATGTACATTAATTCTTAAGTCAAAACGGAGTGAAAAATAATTCTCAACACTCAACAATAATAGAGAAACTGGAGCCGTGACGCTAGACATTTCTAAATTGTTTTATAGAGTTTAGCATGCTGGCCTTCTTCGTAAGCTTTAGGGATATGGTATTACAGGTCGTTTATTTGACTTAATACAATCATTCCTGTCAAACCGTGAAATGAAGGCCGTTCTAAAAGGGTTCTACTTCGGCTTCTTTATCACGAACGCTGGTGTCCCCTAAGGCTGTATCTTAAGGGCTAGACTTCCTGATCTTTATCAATGACGTTCCCGATGTCATTAGTTCCCAAGTTGGCATCTACGCGGACGACTATTTACTCCTGCCTCAATAGTAAATCTGATATCGTTGACAAAACTAACCTGGCCGCTGATCTCGAAAAGGACCTCCAATCTGTGGTTGACTGGAGCAGGAAATGGCTTGTAAACTTTAATGCCTCCAAAACGAAACTGCTCTCCTTTACCCACCACAGAGAACCCTTCCTGCCTCCCGTCAGAATGGCTGATTCCTAACTCCTCGAGAGCGCCTCGTTATTCCTGCTTGGTCTCACGCTGCCCAATGACATGAGGTGGAATACAAACATTGAATCAATTGCTTCATCTACCGCAAGGAAATTTGTTTCTCTGTGTCGTGGCAGAAAGTTTTTCTCATCTGAGTCCATCCTTCAAATTTATAAATCAACCATCCGTCCTTCCATGGAATATTGCTGTCATATATGGTCTAATGACCCCGCTGTACGTCTCGAGGTCCTTGACAAAATCCAGAAACGTGCAAGATGGCCTCCCTCTGTCATCTTCTACAAATATTTTCACGGACAACTGTTCCTGTCGGCTACCTTTTTCTGGTTCCCGGACTGCACGAATTTCTCTGGTTCCCCAACTTAAGCGAGCTACCAGGCTGGCATCTCAGTCCCACCCTTTCACTGTCGAAACAGTTAAATGTAACCGTCTCTTCTACTCAAGCAGCTTCTTCTCCTGCACTTCCCGTCTGTGGAACTCCCTTCCCCTTATTTGCTTCCCCGATGACTATAATCTTCAAATATTCAAGTGTAATGTCAATCGACATCTGACTCCCTGAGCTTGTTCCCCGTACTCCTCTGTATCCTTTCCCCAAATATACCGCTTTGCTCTTTTTCTCAATCCTCTGTAACCCCTTTGCGTGCTATTGGCTCATCCGTCTTTTTGGGGGTGAATTGCCTTTAAAAAAATGCTGAGCAGACCTTAGTTACAGTTTCTGGGAGAGAGCGTGTTATCTAGCGGGATCAACAATTTGAACAAGGCTAGCACGCTCAAGGCCTTGGCCACGATGTGGCTTCGCGCTACCCCAAGAGATTCGTCAACCCAATTTTACTCACAGGGCTTGGGTTAACCTGTGGTATGGTTTTCAGTCACTTTCCAAAGGTGCCACACGCTTGGATCGACCTCGATCCAGTACGATAACATCAGGAAGTCTTCTTCCTGACAAATCGACCATGGTCAGATTCAAACCCGGGTCTCATGGTGGAAAATAAATATATATGTGTGTGTGTGTGTGTGTGTGTGTGTGTGTGTGTGTGTGTGTGTTGTGTGTGTGTGTGTGTGATGAGGGTAAAAGGAACCTTGTATTTACTGTGCACCAGTTCTCTGTTTTCGGCTCTTTTCAATATGTGTATATATATATATATATATATATGTGTGTGTGTGTGTGTGTGTGTGTGTGTGTGTGTGTGTGTGTGTGTGTGTGTGAATATGTGTTTTGTGAAAGGTTGATTAGAAAACAGAAAGCTCTTTCAATAAGTGTGGTGTATATATATATATATATATATGTGTGTGTGTGTGTGTGTGTGTGTGTGTGTGTGTGTGTGTGTGTGTGTGTGAATATATGTGTAGTGTGAAAGGTTGATTAGAAAAGCTAGAAGAGAATTCCACAAGTGAGAAGTGCGAGAGAAGAAACTGTTAGCATATAACTTACGGTTACATCTAGCCAATTTAAGTGTGAATGAATGCGATCCCGTTACCAGACTAATACAGCGCTTAAAGTTCGAAACGCCTAGGTAAAATAGCAAAGGATTCAGCCGAATTGCCATAAAAGAATTTATAGAAAAGTCACAGGGAAGCAACTTTACAGCGGTGGGAAAGTGACTGAAACCGAGATGCCAGGTTAGGACCAATTATATTGCAGATACTTCTCTGGATTTTATCAATAATCTCTAAATATATAGCAAGAGCCCAAAACCAGATGTGTCAGCAATATTCAAAGGAAGGACAAATGGTAGATTTATAAATATGAAAGATAGATTCTGGCGAAAAAAAATTGTCAAGCATGACATAAGGAACCAACTTTTTTAGCAGAGAACCTAATAATTGATTCAATATAATCTTTCTACTTTATGTCAGCGGAAAATATTAGCCCGAGAAGGTGTAATCAGTTATTCTCCTAGTGTTTAGCATCAGCCATGCTGTTGGAAGACAGAAATGATTCTCGTAGACGATTAAAAGAGAACAGTTTCGTTTTGAAAGTTTTGAAATTAACAAGCCATTCTTTGTTCCAGTTAACAACATAATGCAAATCATTTTTTTAGATCAGCCGCCAATTTATTGGACCGCCCAGTCTGACTGTTAAGACAGAAAGAAATGCTTGGCTGATCAGCATATATATCGAATTGAGATCTGGTACCACTAGGAATGACAACCAACTTTCCTTGCAGCGAACCTAACAATTGATTCAATATAATCTAATAATTTCAATACAGGATACGGCAGAAATACTTCCCACATATACCTCTCACAAATACCTCTTACATATACCTCTCACAAATACTTCACACATTTACCTCTCACAAATACTTCACACATATACCTCTCACAAATACTTCCCACATATACCTCTCATAAATACTTCACACATATACCTCTCACAAATACTTCTCACATATACCTCTCACAAATACCTCTCTCATAATAGCAAGCCGTTTGTGGCAATGGTATCTTGATTTAGTTAATGTCATACTATTATTCAGGAGGTATTTCTGTCACGATTTGTATACCGTTTAACAAGGAAATTCTCGAATTTGTTTGCTACCAATAATGAAGGTAAAAATAGACAAAGATTTATCTCAGTGTAACATAGACGTGGCACAAGGCAGAAATCACGGAGCACTGAGTGCGAATTGAATTCACTATACAGTTATAATTGATCTAGCGTGAAACGTTTTCTAAGCATTACACCATGCAATTAAACTAACCCATGGACTGTACACTTTTAATGTTTCATTTGCATTCACGCTCCGATCGTGGAAGGCATTATTCTGCATTTTTATCTAATACATATTCTCCCATTTGTTATAAATACTTTTTTCAGATTCTAGATGCTCGCTCACAGGCTCATCAAATTACATTTATAGTAAGTATTTGTTAAGGACACTGAGCCTCCACCAGCCGTCCTGGGTATGACGATAAACTACATCCGCGTCCTGGATAAGACGATAAACTACATCCAACAGCAAGGCCTCTGATCAGAAGGTTTTCAAGAGCGTGGAACCACCTCTTAATTGTTGGTGTTCCCAGGTTCACCCTGAACCTGGGTGGTAGCACCTGTTAGGGTCCCAGCTATGGGCTAATAGTTATCCCCCAAACTAGGGTCAAAACACTATGAAAGTGTAAAAATAGGTTTTAATACCAGAAATACTTTGTGAAAAATATTACCAGCAATACATTTTTGGAAAAAAAAATATTACTAGCAATATATTTTTGCAAAAAGATATTGCCAGCAATGCATTTTTGAAAAAAAATATTACCAGCTATACATTTTTGAAAAAAAAATATTATCAGAAATATTTATTTGAAGAAAAAATATTAACAGAAAGACATTTTTGAAAAAAAGATTACCAGCAATAAAATTTTTGTCGTCATTAAATAACCCTTTGAGATGTTGATATGCCGTTAAAAAAAAGCAAAACAAACCAGCCTCCACCAGACAATAGTCGTCTTTCCATATTTGAAATTGTAGGGAAGCCATTTAAAATAAGATCTGCGGGGACATAATAAGCTCCTGTAGTTTGATAAATAAAACATTTTTTTTCTTTAACAGGAAGAAAAATAGCTTTTTATTTACTTTGAATGTTCTCTAATAAAAAGGCTTTAAGTCACTTCCTGTTGAAACGCTGTCAATGGATAAACGCGGACAAACGGCGCCATTACTTCGAACGCAAACAGTGAATTAACTCGATAATTAAAAAAAAAAAAAGAAAAAAAATGGCGGCTGACCCCAGAGACGTGGGTATCAAATGAGCTTTATCTACTGCGATGAATACAAAAGAGATTAATACAGACAGTGATCGCGTTTTGTTTTCGTTTTATTCTCTCTCTCTCTCTCTCTCTCTCTCTCTCTCTCTCTCTCTCTCTCTCTGCTCGCTCGCTCTATTTCGGATATCTAACGCGGGAAGTTCTTCCTGTTTGGCGAGAGTCTGTGGGAGAACCTACATGGATGACCACTTGGGAATACCAGTTGCTGTGTACTTGGATGTGCGGGTCTTGTAATGGATACCGGCTAGAAATAGTTAACCGGAGATCAGAGTTCCAATTCCAGTGGTGTTCGTTATATTCACTATCATGCAAATGCCCTGGGGAAAGGTATGAATGCATCTATTTTCGCCCCTCGAGCTCTGGGTTAATTAGTAAGACTTATATCACTTAATCATTATTATCTGCCAAAATATTCTTAAATCTAAAAATATTTTCTGGCTTTAAATAAACTACAAAGGGTTGATAAGCCGTAGAAAATGAATGAATCAATGAAATATTTATTAGCTACACAGGAATGTCTTTTAGATTTATTTCCATTCACTTACGAGCAAACAGCATTGAAAAAGATATGAATCCACGATTTCTCTCCCCCCGTTATGGGTTAAATAGTAGGAGATATCTGAAAATAATTATTATCCCCAACGCACTGTTATTACAAAATTCAATTGGAAAAAAATTATCATAACAATCCAAAAATATATTTCGGCTTTAAATAACCTACGTATTATCGGATATACTCGAAATGCGTTCATGGGAGATTATCCTATTATCGGATATACTCGAAATGCGTTCATGGGAGATTATCCTATTATCGGATATACTCGAAATGCGTTTATGGGAGATTATCCTATTATCGGATATACTCGAAATGCGTTCATGGAAGATTATCCTATTATCGGATATACTCGAAATGCGTTCATGATTGAATATCCTATTATTGGATATACTCGAATTGCGTTGAAGTGAGAGTATCGTATTATCGGATATACTCGAAATGCGTTGATGTGAGAGTATCGTATTATCGTAGCTGTAAAAATATAAAACTATTCTATTGAATAAATTAGTCACTGATCCCGGATAACTCTATCCATTGGTTTATTGATTTGGTTTAGTTTATGACATATGAATCTCAATGGCTTATTAAGGCCGACAAGATTTTTAGGATAGGTTCGTATGAATGGAATATGCATTCTTTGTAAAAAGTCATTTTTAGATCAGGTTTCATTAACGTATTTTTGTAAACAGATTTTTTGTCGAGAGCCAAATGTATTGCTGGTAATATCTTTCTTTTTTTTCAAAAATGTATTACTGGGAATATTTTTTTCAAAAATGTGTTGCTAGTATTTTTACTATAAAAATCTATTTTTATACTTTCATAATGTTTTGGCTCCGATTTGGTGGGTTTCACTATTCGCCCATAGCTTGTTACCCTGACTACCATCCCGGTTCAGGGTGGACCTGACAACAGCAATTAAAAGGCGGTTCCACGCTCCTCAAAAATTTCCGATCCGAGGCCTTGCTGCCGGGTGTAGTTTATCGTCACACCCAGGACGACCGTCCATTGTCCATAGAATTAAAAAAAAAAAATCAAAAGACGAAAATGATTTCTTAAATACAGAGTGTATCATCAGTTCCTAACGGTTATATACACACACCAACCACGTGATTGTCTGTGCAGTAATGATTAGCCATCTTGTCTTTGGCCATGTATCGCATCTAAGTTACGCTCAGCAAATCTCTAAACAACAAAATACGTTTCAGAGATCAAAATACAAAAGTAATCAGACGTTTAATTTGAAACAAATACCGACCATTGCATTTTAACATTCTATTGGATAGACTAGAAATACGATGATGATATTATCGGATATACTCGAAATGCGTTCAAGAGAGAGTATCCTATTATCGGATATTTTAATTAAAAGCGTAATTTCTCCTGGGGGCCTCAAAATTTACAGATATCGAACGTTCTCTGTACTTAAAAATGAACTTCCCTCCACAGTTCTCCAATGATCGGAGAAATCGAACAGACGCACTGTGAGTTGTCTATGAATGTCACTAAATTTATATAAATAATCATGTAATATATATATATATATATATATATATTTAAAAAATTTAACATTTTTTTATATTTAAAATTGAATTTCATAAAATTTATAATTTAAAATTGTTTTATTTATGATTTAAGTAATAAATAACATTTACTTTATATAAATTTAATACTGTTTATTTAAACAGATAAATTTTTTTAAATATATGTATCTATGAAATAAAACGTTAAATATAAAAAAAATATGTCTTTAATAAATAAATTGTCCGGACCTTGTCCATTTCTTATTTTATATATATATATATATATATATATATATATATATATATATATATATATATATATATTATAAATTATGTTTTTTTCGCTTTTTCGTTTCTTCTAACCATGTTTCAAAAATGGAAAGCTAAAAGTCTGAATTTAATTTTGTAATTAAATCAAAGACATTAGTTCCATTTCATCCTCAATCGAATTTTGGAGTAACTTTTTAAATTACTTTTAAATTCACGTTTCCAAGGTTACAGATAAATCACTTCCACTAGACAAAAAATCTGCGTGTTCATTATGGCTTTATGCTTTGATGTATCAGTTATTAGTTACGTTTTTTTTGGGGTAGGGATGTATTTTTCAATGAAATCTATTATCCGTTAAATTATATAGTTTGGGTTTTTTTAAAAAAAAAAAACAATAAAATTAATAGAATTAATTATAGTATATCAAATTATTTTTATGTTAAATATATAATGTATATTACCTGATCGCACTTTTTTAAATTTATTTTTTTTTTTTTAATATTATTTAAGGAAAATTTTTGACAATGACGGCATAAAATAGCTATTTCATTTCTCTGATTCAGTAAATTTTATTTTTTATAAACTTAGTAATATATAGTTTCTCATGTAAGTACAAAAAACACATTATTTAATGACCTACATATTCTAGCTTTTCTTATTAACTTCCATTTTACTGTAGGTGTTTTATTTGATTCTTCTAGGTGCCAGAAGTTTTTTGAGAGAGATGCTTGATTTTTATATTTATTTATCCTAAATGAACTTTGATGTTGGTTGAATCTTTTTTTGAACTCATGGCTAGTGCAACCTAAAAAAAAAAATAGTCTATTAAAATAACAGTGAAAATATTTTAAAGTTGTTTTTAAAACTGTAGTTAAAACGAATTCTAACCTAAACATCTTTTAAAATTGTAGTTAAATAAAGCGTATTCTAACCTAAACACCTTTAAAAAAAGTACTACCGGCACTTGAATGAATCCAATAAAACACCTACTGAAAAATGAAACTATGACAAAAAGCTAGAAGATGTAGGCCAATGAATGACCCATGTCCTTTGTACATACATGTAAAACTATATATTACTAAGTTTATATAACAAAAAAAATAGATAAAGTTTACTAAATCAGACAAATGAATTAGCTATTTTTGCCGTAAGTACCATAAATTTTACTTAAATAATATTTAAATATAAAAAATTAAAAATCGTAATATACTATACATTATTGTAAAAAAAAATAATTTTACTTAAATAAGTAATTTTAATACATTTACTTCTTTTAAAAGAAATATAATCTATTAAAACTAACAATGAAAATATTTTAAAGTTGTAATTAAAATTGTAGTTAAATAAAATTAATTCTAACCTAAACATTTTTTTAATTGTAATTAAATAAAACGTTTTCTAACCTAAAGATAATTTCTTAAGTACTATATGCACTTAAAAAAGAATCCAATAAAACACCTACAGTAAAATATAAATTAATATGAAAAGCTAGAAGATGTAAGTAAATTAAATGACCCATGTCCTTTGTACTTACATGAGAAACAATATATTACTACGTTTATATTAAAAAAAAAAAAAATTACTAAATCAGTGAAATTAATTAGCTATTTTTTTTTGTCATTATCATAAATTTTACTTAAATAATATTTAAATATAAAAAAAAAAATTGTGACCTAATAATATACATACTTATACTTGATGTGAAAATAATTTTACATACTGTAAGGGATTCTAATACATTTAATTGTTCTTAAAAAAAATATATATAAAAAATTAAAAATTAAAAGTAAAAAATTTTCAAATCGTAGTTAAATAAAACGTATTCTAACCTAAACAACCCCCAAAAATCTTTAAATATACAAATAGAAAAAAAAAAATGCCGTAAGAATTTTTTTTTTTTTAACAATAAAATTTTTTAAAATCCAGACGACATGCATTTAACGGATGTTAGATTTCATTGAAAAATACATCCCTACCCCCTACCAAAACGTAACTAATAACTGATACATCAAAATACAGACATAATGAACACGCAACACCCCTTGTCTAGTTGAATGGATTTATCTGTAACCTTGGAAACGTGAATTATGATTTTAGCTGTGTCTTTAAAACCCAGTAATTTTAAAAAGTTAAACCAAAATTCGCTTGAGGATGAAATGGAACTAATGTCTTTAATTTAATTACAAAATTAAATTCGGAGCTTTTAGCTTCCATTTTTGAAACATGGTTAGAACTGTGTAGCGAAAAAAAACATATTTTAAATATTTTAAATCAATTAATTTATAATATTAATGCTCTGTAAATATACATTGAGCACTATTTTGTAAAAAATAAAAAATATCTATAAGAACACCGGATTATATATCTTACTGTTCTTTTTTTTTATATATATATATATATATATATATATATATATATATATATATATATATATATATATATATATATAGAAATTGAGTCTGAAGAAAAAATTAGAATGTCTAAAGCACTGGACGGCTGTTTCTAAGAAGATATTTGGGACACACCAGCAGTGCGCATCCACTACTGAGAATTGAAACCCGGACAGTTCCATGTTATCAGGCAAACGTACAAACGGTCCTCGGTGACAAAGAGGTAACGACGAATTAGACTCGTTATAGCGCAGCTCTGTCATATATTCCGTTGTGGAACTGATCCGAGTTTCCCCTTACCCATAGGACTATGCCCCCTCGAGCCACGACTACTATCACCAAGCAGCTCCATCCAGAGTATGTAAAACCGGTTCAAGCAAGGATATACAAAAATAGAAATTATTATTTAATTTTGATATATATTATAATTAAGTAATTCATCGAGTCTAGAAGAAACCTTAACAGAATGCAGAAAGATTTTACGGCTGTTTCGTCCTATCTTTCCAGGGACTCATCAGCAGTGCGCATCCACACTCCTATGAGTAAAAGAACAAACTGGATTTTTCCACCACGGAATATGTGATCGAGTTTTGGACATATCGTGTCCAATTCGAAACTTTTTTCAAATGAACGGTTGGTATATCTTCCCTGATGAGTCCCAATTATAAACGAAACGGCCGTCCAGTGCTTTCTGCTGAGTTTTCAGAAAACTTCATTTGAATTAATTATATATATATATATATATATATATATATATATATATATATATATATATATATGTATATTATATTGTGTGTGAAATTATTATTAGGGTTTGATTTGAATAATCATAATTAAATAATTCATCGACTCTAGAGGAATTTAAGTTTTTTTAAGCACTGGCTGGACGTTTTGTCCTATTTTTGGGACAATTTCAGCAGTGTGCATCCACTACTTCTTATTGAAACCCGAACAGTTACGATAGGAGGGAAACGCCATAAACTATATAATTTTATAACGAATTAAATATATAGAGCCCGCTCGATCAGATATACCGTGGTGGAACTCATCCAAGTCTTTCTTTTTTCAATGACTGTGCCTCCACGAGCCACGACTACTATTTCCAAATTAGTTCCATCCAGAGCATTTAAAAATTTTTCTTTAAAAAAGAATATACAAGTGATAGAAATTAAAAAGGATTTGAAAGATAATTAAATTTAAATTCATCAAGTCTAGAAGAAACCTCAACAGAATGCAGAAAGCACTGCATGGCCATTTCGTCCTATTTGGGACTCATCAGCAGTGCGCATCCACTACGGAGAATCGAACATGGACCTTTACGATATGACGCAACGAGTCTCGGTGACGAAGAGATAAAAAAAACTAGACTCGTTTTTACTTTACCTCCTTTAAAAGACATAATTTCATTTAAATAAAGTTTTTTAACCAGTCCTGTACAAGCAGACGTTTTTTGACTAATCTTTCTTTATCTTCCAGCATCAATAAATATGTAGCCTAAAATTAAAAAATAAATCATTTTACACAACAAATCTTTATTTTTTAGATATAATCCTTCTTTTTCGATATAATCCCACTTCCTGATGAGCAACGTCGAACCTGGTTGATGGTTGACCGCTTGGGAATATCAGGTGCTGTGAACTTGGATGTGCGGGTGGTGTAATGGATAATGACTCTGAATTGCTAATCGTAGAGCCGAGTTCGAATTCCAGTTGGGTTCGTTATATTCACTTAATCGTTAAATAACCTCGGGAAAGGTATGAATTCATCTCTTCTCCTCCCAGCTATGGGTTAATTAGTAAGACTTTTATCACTAAATCGTTATTATCTCTAAAACATTCTTAAAATCTAAACATATTTTCTGGCTTTAAATAACTTGCAAAAGGTTGATAAGCCATAAAAAAACGAATCAATCAATTAAAAAAAGAGTTCAAAAAAAAATTCTTTGAAATGGCTTTTTTTGGCGAAATTATTTTTTTTCTCTCTCTCTCTCTCTTATTCTTCAAAAACGGTATGTGGCGAGTCTCTCATTAATCTACCGTTACTACCATGGAAAATGCTCGGGCGATATACATTCCTTGGTTCCGCTAGGTCTAGCATTCACAATTAATTTATAATTCCTTTTTAGTAAACAAGCCACCCACATTCTCTCCGTATTCCATCGGCGGGAAATAATTTCTACTCAGCTACTCCCCACCCGCCGAACCACTGCCCTGTGGAAGACTCCATTAAAAATATCTGTTTTATTTTTACAGTCTTAACCTGTTCAAATCTAGGGTTAAGCGCTATCTTCCCTCCCTAAAG